ACTTATTCAAGATGCGCGCATGTGTGATAGTTGCTGCATTTCCTACGGCTCCCGTACTTAGTACTACGTAGCTTTTATATCTTTTTCGGTGAGAGCGAACCCCTTGATATTTGATTCGTGTTCGGTGAGAGCGAACCGCATGATTTTTGATTCGTGGCTCGAGATTCTGCGGTTCTTTTTTCCAGTTACGGCAAAGCACATCGCATCACAAAATAGATTGGCACTCAATCTAAAAAGTTCGTTCTAGAGCTAAATCATTCAAATCAACTCATCCAAACAATCATGGATCCAACCGTCCAAGAAGAAGAAACCGGTCTTCCGATCGCCCATGACAATACCTCGCGAGGGATACGATGTGTGCCCTACGAAAAGAAGCACGCGCTCGGTGTTCTCCTCTTGACTGCTGTGGAATTCCCCTTTCCGGAAAATGTCCTCTGCTCTATTGCAGCTTTGTTTTATTGTCTGTTTTTCGGAGTTGTGGCACTCGACGAGAATGGCAAGGTGGTGGGATACTTTTTGGGCCAATCTCCATTGACTATTGGTCTCTCTCGCAAGAAGGTCGGCATCCTCACGGTTGTTTGCGTGAGCTCCAAGCACCAAAAGAAGGGAATCGCTAAGACTCTGGGCAAGCATGTCATGGAAGGAAAGTGTGAAGAATTTTCGCCCGAAGATTTCGACGAAATTATTCTTCAGGACACAGATACCTGGAATTCGCCCTCGTGGCTCTTCTCCGATCGGAATGGCTTTCGATATTCTCCGACCCATGACCTGATCCGTCGGTTCGGCCTCGTGGGATATGTGCAGATCATCTTGACCGGAAACCATACTTTGCCTTGCCAATTTGTGAAGCGATACGCCAAGACAGAAGAGGAGCACGCTGAGGCGGATGCCTTTGAGACACAAAAGGGAATCATTGCGTGCCTCATTTCCGGAATACTGCCTTCGGTATACTGGATCTGTTTCTGGATCATGTCGTGCGACAACGGTGTAAAGGCGAAATTTGCCGGGTGGGTGTTTTTAGCCGTCTACTTCCTTTTGGCAGTACGCTTTGCTCTCGCCCATCTTCTGGCCCAAGAGCGAGTAGTCTTTCGCGAATATGACAACTGGTGGGCGCCCATTGGGCTTTTCTGGCCAATTGCAACCTTTGTGGGAATCCCTCTCCTGGGATGGACGGGAGGTTTCTACATTGGGGTGCCGGGAATCAATTACTTACATGACAAGTACAAGACAGCGCTCGCCCAGATGTACCTTCCCATCAATCTATTTACGCTCGTCTTGTTCTTCTTTCACCAGCTGGCACGGATTGTCTCCCCTGGAGTTTTGCTATGGGCGGGTGGTCTCTTGGACGTTTTGKGGTACGCAGCCTTTTTCTGCTCCATCACGGATCTTGCCATGCCAACCGTGGCCTTTCCAAGTGGGGCCATGGCAATTCGGCGATGGAATTTTCTTCTCTTTGTGGGATTGTGGGTGTCTTGGTGCGCCATCCTTGTGTGCGGCATATTGCTTCCGAACGAAAACGAGAGTTCCAGATTTATGGATCTTAGTATCGCTGCTTGTGCAAGCCAATGATTTCAACTAAGACAGATTTTCTTCTTTTTCAATGAAATGCACCATATTATTGTGATCCTTCTGTAGCAAGCAAAATATAAATCTCCTACCGGTAGTAGAAAAATCGTGGCCGGAAACGTCCATGGTGTCTGTTTAGTCGCTCTGTCTGAGTCCCGTGTTTGGCATCCGAGCGAATAACCGAACAAATGCGCTAGGATAGCTTTCTTGTTTTTTCATTCACGGATTGGAAATACGGATGAGTCGCATGGTTTGCCGGTAGACGACGAGTATTGTCGTTTGAGCGCGCAAGGTCGCACATTCCGTTCAAAAAATGATCGTTGGTCGGGTGCAAGAAGCCAACGTGCATGGTTGCGTGGAGTTGTACCGTAGGAAGCAGTACGATACTCGATAGACTACGGAATACGGTAGTATCGTCCTCTCCTCTCGTCAGTCATCAGGTGAGATCGTTCACAACACCACAACAATTGTGGATAGAATCCAATCTTCTTTCCTATCCGAATAGAACAGCAAAATGGCGGACGACAACGTCAACGCCGATGATTATATCGGGGAGTACCAAGACGACGCCGTCGCGGCGCAGGTGGCGAAAGTATGCAAGGTCTACGATTCCGAGGACTTTTTCACGGTATTCGTTCAGCTGTTGCTGGCCTTCTTCGGTTTGATGTCCTTATGGTTCAAGCGACAGGCCGAGACACCAAAGCGAAAATTCAGAACTTGGTTCTTGGACGTTTCGAAACAAGGATTGGGAGCGTGCTATGCCCACGTCCTAAACATGGTAAGCGCAGAGAACGTCGGATGTGACGAAATTCCCTGGGAATGCTTCTGTTTCAATTCTTGACGCTTCCGGTTTCTTGGTAACGGATCATCATCGAATCACTACTCACCGTTGTTGACGCAACCAACCATTGTGTTATAGATAATAGCGGCGATCATCGTAAACAACGACGACAACGTTAGCAACGACTTGAACGATCAATGCGCGTGGTATGGAATGACTTATATTATTGACACGACTCTGGGGTTATTACTGGCTATTTGGGGACTTAAGGCCATCGATTACATGGCCAACGAATGGGATTGGGTGTCCCTGAAACATTCCGGTGTATATCAGGGTGTAGACGGACTCTTGCATTGGATACATCAATGTGTAGCGTGGCTTGCGATCTTGACCATTTCCAAGGTGATCATTTACTATTTCATGATTTGGACAGCCGATTGGCTTTCTATGTTTGGCGACATACTGTTTTCGCCTCTCCAGTCAAACATTCATTTCGAATTGTTGTTCGTAATGATCTTTTTCCCGGGTGTCCTGAACGTGATTTATTTTTGGGTTGCCGATCATTACCTCAAGGCAGAGGCCCACCACGCAAGTGCGCACGAGGAGGACACCCTCGAAACCGAGTTGGCCCAAAAGAATGCGTCCCTCCTGCCCGAGGGGGAAGGAAACGATGCGGAGACACCAAAGATCTGGGTTACCGAAGACAAGCCCGCCGCAACGGTTGTTTGAGCACTCTTTTTTTGCTTGGTTCGCTAGGTGAATGATTATATCCTTTGCACTAGAGATTGTTTGCCGTGTTGCCAAGTGGGAGCAGTATCACTTCCATCACTTTCTTTTTTCACCACCAGCTGTATTCATATCAAATCTAATTCTAATAATCTAATAACCTACGATAAAGAAATAACAACGCACTATAGTATATGGTAATAATATATGGTAAGGTTCATACAGAAGAAAAGTAAGTTTGAGTCTCATGTCCTAGTACTCGTACTGCAGTTCGGTTCTTCCTTGTTCTATGTGACCACTGTTTGGTAGCACGCCAATTGCTTTTTGTTTTTGTCGTGTCTCGAGCGGTGTTTCCAAAAATGTGATCCCCCCGTCGTCAGTCGTGCACTGCCCGGCTCGCGTTCCACCAACGGAAGTCGCATTGGGCGGGCAACGGGAGGATATGGCTTGCACGTGAGAATCCTAGCGCGCAACATTGGATAACGAAGCGACGGGAACCGCTTCGTCACGTGGAAACCTTATGGAAGGCTACGAGTGGTACGGTACCACACCGGCTCCGGCAAGGAACCTGTCGGAACCATACTAGCTCAATTTGAAGGAGGGATTCAGGTCCACCCTTGGACGGCGTTACATGATTACGAGCGACGCAATTGCTTTGGTTTGACGCAAGACAGTTTACGATAAAACACACTTACTGACGACAGAAGCTAGTGCAGGACAGGGACTGGGTAGAGAGCAACGACAGAAAGGAATTGCCGTCCAAGAGTACGCAACAACAAAAACTACAACAACAGAGCGGACGCAGAAGTTTTAAGCTCAATCCGTCAACCAACCATACGATGAGAGCCTCTCTTTCGACCTACACGGCACTCCTGGCGGATTCCCTGTGCGGGGGTTCCTCTCGGCGCCTTATTGCGGGATGGTGGTAGGTGGCCCGACCGAACCGACAGCGGACACTGGCTCTGGTGAACGAATGAATCGAAAGAGACCGCAGTTTCCCACTGTTTTTCAATCGTTCCTCACTCGTCTTTTTGCGCACAACGGATCCGTGATTGCTTTGCTCGTTCTGTTGTTCCCTCTGCGTCGTCTCGGATTTGTTTCATCCCAAAGGTACTCCATCCTGGGATTGACGGGAGTTTTAGCGTTGATGTCATGTGCAGTTATTTCCAGTCGAGGCCTGAGCGAATCGTTCACGTCGATCTGGTCGGCGTGCATGCTTTCGTTGCTGAGCATTGGCGGAACCATGATCATGAGGAAGTTTCACAACTCGATGGCGGTAGGATTTTTCATGGGCGGGGTCGTAGCCATGTCACAGATGTTCTTCTTCCTGATGCTCATATACATTGGCTACCTCAAGGACCAGCGAAACGACGGCCTGCCGGTGGTGACGGAAACGGTCATGGCCTTTTTCTGCCTGTTGCAGTGCGTCCTGCTGGGAACCTTTGCCGCGATCCTGGGCGCCCACCGCTCGGAAATATTAGAGAGCCAGGACGAGCACGCACCCGGGCAGGACTCGTTCGGTGCCACGCCCTACACGCGGTCATGAGATCCTTCCACCAAAGTGCGGCGAAGCACCGCATGGGTCGGCTCCCGGTGAACGTTGGTTCGGCTTCTTTTTTTTATTATACGTAGTATAAATGTTGTATATATTTAAATCAGTTATGATGACGATACCGCGCACGGGTTGGGAACGATTCGAAAGCCTTCTCTCGATGGATGCTCCGCGTTGGCACTCGCTACGAGGAACCGCGCCATTTGCCTTTCCGATGGATGGATGCAACCACGATGGCTCGGGGCGACGTTGGTTTTGCGTTTGGGTCCTGCCAAGCCACGGGATCTCCGAACACGAACGGAATCTTTGCGCGTTCGGACCACCTTCCACACGAAGCGTCCCATGCCGCGAACCACGAGTGACTCCTCGTCTCGTTTTGGCAGGTCCGTCCAAGCGCGAGACGGTTGGAACCGCGCGATTGGTGTGTGCTCGTTCGGTTGCGACTCCCCAATAGCTCCCGCCGCAAAACTAGTTTGCGAGCGGTGAGACCATTCGTTCTCCTAGTGCAGTATTCGTACACGGTGTTGCTCCTTTGTGTATGGCTGCCGTGGCATTCGTTTGGTGTTGTTGCTTTGTGCATGACTACTTTACAAAAAATTTACTACACGTACATGGTATTGTATTTCGAACAACAGGAAAGCACGGACGCCCTTTGCCCCCTGCCAGTGGAACGAATTCCACGGAACGAATGGCGGATGCACGGAACCCGATCGATCGATCGATCGATGATCAGAAGCTGATCCCCGTCCCGCCCGGGCCCCCGCCGGACGACACCCCCGCATGGGCGTGGGGGGGATGGTAGTGGTAGCCGCCACCGCCGCCCCCGTCGTTGTAGATCGCCCGCTTGAGGTGGGACATGAGGTTGTCGTTGCTCTCGATGCGCCGCTGGCGGGTCTTGCTCTCGATGCGCCGGCTGAACTCCTTCATCATGGCCCGATGGACCCGGCCGTCGATCAGGTGCTTGTTCTTGGCCCAGTCCAGGAGGTTCCCCATCTCGGTCTCGACCCCGTTGCTCTCGTCGGCCGACCGGTGGAGCATGATCGCCGCGTCCTTCTTGCGGCGGATCTTGAGCGTGCACGTGTTCTGCCGCCAGGGCTCCCCGTCGATCTGGACCGCGACCTTGCGCTTGATGACGATGGTGGCCTCCCGGCACTGGCAGAGCTTCTGGGCGGTGCTCAGGCCGACCCGGATCTGGCCCAGGTGGAAGGTCCCCCGGACCGACACGATGTCGAGGAGGCCGTCCTGGCAGCTGCTGGGCCGGTCGCAGGCGGTCACGCGGGTGTACTTTTCGTCGTCCGTCAGCGCCAGGTGGGCCAGCTCCTCGAGGCTGTCGGACCGGGAGAGCGACGGGGTCCGGGACCCGGCCCCGGGGCTCTTCGGGGCCGCGGCCACGCTCGGGACGTCGTCGAAGCTCTTGGACCGCTTCTTGATGGAGGCCCGCGCCAGCTCGACCTCGCTGTCCACGCTGGCCGCGTCGGAGTCCAGGACCGTGTCCCCGGTCGCCCAGAGGGGGACTCCCCCGGTGTACGAGTCGATGTTCAGCATGATGATCCCCTGCGAATCCGCCGGCAGGGGGACCTCGATGCCGTCGGCGATGAGGGTAATGTCGTGGCGGAGGTTGATCGAGGAAGCCTTGATAATGTCCTCGGCCCCAAAGAGGCCGTACCACAGCTTGTTGACGATGCGGGAGAAGAAGAGCTGCGGCTTGCTCTCCCGCAGCATGTGGACCTGCAGGGCGGCCTGGGCGTCCGCCCCGACGCTGAGGTAGTTGAGAAAGGACTGGACGCTCTTGACCTCTCCCTTTTTGTTTTCCTTGGTCATTTCCCACCGGTCCAGCCAGGACACGTACCCCTCCGAGACCTGTTCCAGGATCTTGACGAGGGGCTCGTTGCTGTACCCGCCGCCCCACCCGTGGATCCTGGCAAGGTCGTTCCCCGTTCCGAGGGGGAGGATCGCGATCGGCGGCCACCGCTTCATCTCCATGCTCTCGATGGTGTTGACGATCCAGCTGACCGTCCCGTCGCCGCCGCACACGAGGATCCGCAGGCGGCTGAAGGTCGAGAAGGACTCGAGTATCTCCTCCGGCCCACCGTCCGCGAGGTCCCAGATCTGGATCGGGTTGAGGAGGCCCCGGAGCTGGGTGGTGAGCAGGTGGCCCTGCTGCGGCCCGGAGCGCGAGTTGACAAAGACCAGGAGGGGGGTGAAGCTCTTGTCGAGGAGGAACTCGTCCCCCAAAACGTACCCGTTGTGGTCCGGAACCGGGACCTCGACCGCCATCCGCCGGATCGACTCCCGGCAGGCGGCGGTCTCGAAGAAAAAGGCCCCGCTGCCCCCGTTCTGCGCCGGCGAGGGGGGCGGGAGGTCGGATTCGCCTTCGTCGTCGCCGCCGCCTTCCTCGGACACCCCGGGGCTGGAGGTCACCCTAAAGTCCCTCCGCGAGGTCTCGACCCGGTAGCTCGCCAGGGCGTCCTTGGTCTTGGCGCCGGTGGCGATGGAGCGGGACCGGATGGTCGACGGCGAGGTTTTCATTTTCAGCGAGTGCTGCTCGGGGTGGCACAGGCGTTTCGGGAACGAGGGAATCGATGCCGACGGCGGGGACCGGATCGAGGGGATCATGGTCTTGCTCTGGACCGGCGTAAAAAAGGGCTGGGATTCCGGCGGCTCGAGCAAGAGCCTCGGGGGGGTCTTTGCAAAGGYGTCGTCGCCGTACAGAGCCGGGGAACGCCCGCGGGCCTTGTCCCCTTGTTCCCGGTCACGGGTGGGGACGGTCTCTGCCGACTTGTTGCTGCCGCTGGTGGAACGGGAGCTCGGAGAGGACTCGTCCTCGTTGTCATTATCGCCATCGCCATCACTATCGCCATCATTGTGATTGTGATTGTTTTTGCTAGGAGTTTGACTCGCGGGACTTCCGGCTCCTCTCGTGCTGCTGCTGTCGTTGTCGTTGTTGTTGTTGTATTCGTCCGCGGGGACGGCGGGTTTGTCGCCGGCGTCGCTTGCTTGCCCCGGACCGTCGCCGACGCTGCCGTGTTCGGCTTCGTCCCTCGGTGCCCGGCTCCTCTCGGTCTTGCCGCGCGAGAGCCTCCGGCTCTTTCGCTTCGACCGCCGGGGGTGCTTTTTTTTGGGTTCGAGATCCCCCCGCCCGGGATTCCCGCTCGGAGGGCTCGAAGAATCCTCCTCCTCCTCGTCGTCGTCGTCCTCCTCCTCCTCTTCTTCCATCGGGATCATCCCCCGCACGGCCCCCATCCCGGTTTTGTGGCTGTTCCGGGCGCGGATCGCCGACTGCACCCAGGTGATCAGCGTCCGTCCGGCCGCGGTGTAGTCGTACCTCCGAAAGAGGACGATCAGGTGGAAGATCTGCTTCATGTAGTTGACGAGCCTCGTCCCGGGGTTCTCGTCGAGGCCGGTGCCCTCGTGGTCCTYTTTCTTTTTGGGGGGAGCCTTTGYTTGCTTCTGGGGCTCTTGCCTGCGGCGGTTCCGGTGCGGCTTGTCGACCCGCTGGCACTCCGGGGGGAGGACGAGGCACCGGTACGGGGAGTTTCGCAGGATCGTRGGCCACYGCCGGGCGAATTTCTGGACCTCGGACTCCTCCTCGGGCCGCTCCCGGCCGCGAKAAGGAGGCGGCTGSTGGCTCTGCTCGTCCCACGGCTCGGGKGCCCCGTTCCCCCCCATGGACTGCTTGATCCGCCGCTTGATGCTGGACATGGACTTGCTCCGTTCCATCGACGACCGCTGCTGCTGCGACTGCTGCCTCCCGGAAGCCGCCCGCCCGCTCCGGCCGGTCCTTCCCGAAGAAGACCGCTGCCGGGCGCCCTTCGGGTCCCCCCACGGGGCCAGAAACCAGAAAAAGGCCCCAAAGAGGAGCCCCGCGATCGCCAGGTGCTCCATGTCCTCCCGGAACTTGTTGTGGTCCTCCGACCAGGACACGACAAAGGGAAAGGCTCCCAGCAGGAGGGCCTTGGACTTCTCGTAGACCCCGTTCACGTCCTTCCGGACGTCCTCGATGATGATCTCGGCGCCCTTCTGGACGATCTGCTCCACGGCCTCCTGGAGTTCCACGTCCTCCTGCAGGGCTTCCTCCGACGTGTCGACGTCGACGTAGGAGGTCATGCTGCCGTTGCCGTGGGCGATGCTGTGGGACGCTTGCTTCGCTTCGGTTCGGTTTGGTTCGGTTCGGTTCTCTTTGGTTCCGTTGTGCTCGAAATATGGACAGAATGTTGCTCTGCGGCGTCCTGTGCCTCCAAGGATGGCAAACACGCACAACCGGAGAGGGTGTTTGGGTTGTTGTACCTGTATTGCGTACTCGTACTCGTATTTATTGCGGCACCGCGATGATTCGTTCGTTTCAATGCTGCGCGCTCGTCGTAGTACTCGTAACTCGTACGAACCCTACCGTCAATCGTATCGTATCGTATCGTATCGTATCGTACTTGGTACGTACCATTCGTACCGTTCCATACCAAATGTCATGCACAGCTGTTGTGTTGTGTTCGGGAATATCGTAAGTAGTTTCTACTAATGCAATCGATGCTCGTTCGATTCGATCGTACTCATACCCGTAGTACATACTTCAAGGTACGCACGATACGAATCGTAGGATAGTATTTTGGTAGGGTATGTACCATACCGTACACGTAGGTGAAACCATTCCCGAACTCCGGAACGGGGTTCTGCCTCAAAACCTCGATTGGAATTCTGTTTGTTCGCAACCCAACCAACGCACTCGTAGCGTACGCACGACGTGCTCTGCTCTTATGGTACCGATGCCGCACGGTACCGGCCGCCACAAGCAGCACCGCGCCCTTAAATCGTCGCATCGAATCGCATCGCATCGCATCGCATCGAATGCCGCACCGCGCACCATGGTGGGCTGGCACAGACGGGGCAGCGCGGCCGCAGCACCCCGAGAGGGACCCCTCGCCACCGGCGGGACCGCCGGGGCAGGAAGGAATCCTTCCGCTGGACCGGACCGGACCCTTGATCCGCGGCACCTTCCGGGGGATCCTTGCTCGCATCGCGCTCCGTCGCTGCTCTGCGGCGGTCGGGTTTGGTTCGACGGGCGCGAACCGCCCGCCTGCGGCGTGCGGCTGCTGTGCTACAGTACGTACTAAAGCATGCTACTGCTACAAAAAAAGTCGCTAGAGGCGCGGCCGTGGCAAGAATCGGTTTGCATTGCATTCGTTGTTACTACTAAAGGATCGCATCGCATCGCTGGCGACCCAACAAGACCCAAAAAGCGCCGCACCGCACACCGCAGCCTTCCGCTACCGGTCCGCCGTGACCAGGAGGGCGCCGCAGAGTCCGTTCTTGTCCCTCCCTTTCGCAAAGCGGTAGTTCTTGTCGGAGAGCCACCGCACGACGGCGGACTCGAGGGCCCCGCCCCCCTTCTGGTGGGTCTTCTTTCCGACGTGGTGGCCCGTTCCGGTGACGATCCAGACCTTTCCGCGGTTTGCACTTTCGCTTCCCAGCTTGAGGGGGAGCATCGTTTCGAGGACCTTCGGAAAGGTCTTGGTGGACTGAAAGTGCAGGTCGATGACGTCGGACCGCTGGACCGACGCGGCGACCTTTTGGTACCGCTCGAGCGGATCGCTGATGTAAAAGACGGACGGGTCGCGGTTTTCGTGCGGGTTCCACAGGTCCTGCGGGATCCGGACCGTCGGGATCGAAGGCCTGGCGGAAGCGCTGGTCGTGGCCGGGAAACAAGTCCCCTCCGCAAACCGCTTCCGCTCGTGCCCCTTCGAGGCAACGTTGGCAAAGGAAAACTGGGCCTCCGAAGGGGGTTTTCCGGGCGATGCAAAGGGATCTTCCGGCACCGAAGGGGTCGTCCACGAGGAAGCCAGCAGTGGGGAAAGGGCCCCGCCAAAGCTACCGCCGCCCTCCGGGCTGGCGGACAAGCTCGCCGAGGACGACGCCAGACCGGGGGGATACATCTGGTTGTACCCGGCCGAGGACGCGGCCGCACCGTGGAGGTTGTTGTTGTTGCTGTTGTTGTTGTTGCTGTTCGGCTGTTGCTGCGATCGATACCCGGACATGTCGATGCCGTCCAGGAGTTTCTCGTGAAACCCGTGCAAGAACTTGCAGGCACTTCCCTTCCCGCAGCGGCCGCGGAGCCAAAAGAGACACGTGTGGCCCTCCACGTCGTGGCTGAACGTGCAGTCGCTTCGGTAGCAACCGTCGTGAAGCATGTGGCGACAGATGGGAGGCGCCCGTATCGCCGAATCGATGATGTACTGGGCGAGATTGAAATCGGTACCGGCCATGAGTCCCGCTGCCGCGGCCGCCTCCTCGGAGAGATCCGGGTTCATGGACAAGAGAATTTCCACACAGGAATCCAGCTGCTGCTGGAAGTAAATGTTGTTGCTCATGCCGTTCCCACAGACCGCGCTTTCCTCGTCGATCGTGCCCGTGGCGGACATCGCCAGCATCGAGGCACTCGCGTTCGAAGACCCGCGGGACCTCGACGCGGCCTCCTCGCTTTCGATGCTGTTCTGTCGCGGCCTCGCCGGTCGGAAGAGGGTCGCCGCCAGGTCCTTGTCGGAGTGTTGTTGTATTTTTCCGTCGCTGGATTTTTTCGAGCTCCGTATCTTGACCTTTTTCGGTTTCTCCACGCGGGCCCCGAGTGGCGGAAAGGCCTCGGGGGAGGTTCCGAGCGGTGGGAACTCGTTGTTGCGCTGGCCGTGGACCGCCGCTAGGCTAGCGCTGGTTTGGGGCGATTGTTTTGGCTCGAACGAAGTCGCGTACCGGTGCGACTGCGACTGCGTCCGTGTCTGCGCCAGGGTCGTGGGTGCTGCCCGCAGGCCTATCTTTGGGGCGAGCAGTACCGACGCCAATGCCGACGGGGAGGAATAGGCCGGGGAGGGATCGTCGAGTTCCCCCATCAGGTCCAGCGGGATGAGATTGTCGAGTCGGAGGGGGGACGGCCCCCCCAGGGAAAAGGCATTGGCGGTGTCGGCCGGTCCAAAGGACTTGGAGGGCGTCTGCGCCTGCGCCTCCGTCTCGCCGGTCTCCGCCAGCGCGGCCATGCTTTCCGGAAGGGCGCTGCTCATGCTGCGAAAGGAATCCAGCGCCCCTCCGTGCTGCGTGTAGAGGGGAAAGCTGTTGCAGCGGGTCCTCCGCACGCCCACGGTGGCCGCGGTTCGTTCCGAAAAGGGCAGGACGTGCGTGACGACGGCGTCCGTTATCCTCAGAACGCAGTCGGCCGCCTTTTCCCGGTCCATGCTGCACTGGTCCTCGAGGAGTTCCAGGATCGAATCGAATTCGGCGAGCGATTTGACCTCCTCCTTCGCCCGAATGTCTGCGCACCGAATCATAGAGGCCACGTAGGGTCCCAGGCTGTCGTCGAAGATGCTCGTGTCCGGCGGGCTCATCGCCTTTAGCACCCTAGCGGCGTACGCATCGATCTCGGAATCCGACGATTTCGCGTCCTCGATCATGGAGAGAGGAAGGGATGGCGTCGCGGAAGCCATCGTTGCTGTCTCCATGGCCCGCGATTCCTTTCGTGGAGCCATTCAACACCGGCACCGGGAAGTTCTGTGCTCCGCCTTTTCCACCACACCGGAGCCAATCGTCTCCGCTCTGCTCTGCGGTGGGATGCGCACTAAACTCCAACCGCCAATCCGATTCGAATTGAATTGAATTCGTCAATGTCTGGCAGATTTGAAAGTTCCGTCGGATATCATCGCATGGTCGTGTGGATGTGGTTTCGAGCCGTTGTTGTTTTGTGCTTCGAATGTCTATGTCTTTTGGTGTCGGTCGGTTGGCCGGTCTTTGGTTGCGGGTAGGAACCGAACGAGAAAAAACAGAGCAACGAACAAAGTGGTGACACCAAACAAAACAATGAGGCGCTATTTCGTTTCTTTCTTCTGTTCACAGGGTTACGTTTTCGCGTCTCGATGTGTGTCTTTTGTTCCGTGTGCCACGAAACAAACATCGAATCTCGGACCCCTCTATGGTTCCACCGAACAGAGCCATCGTCCGAGGGGAATCCTTTTCCCCGGGGCGTCGGCTTGCCGCGAAGGAAGGAAGAAACGACACGCTCATGCGTTGTTCCCACACCGGAGACGGGAACGAATCGGGACGATTGCTGCGTACTTACGTTGTCCGGGCTTTCACTGTGTTCTGTTTCGGAGTCGTGCTCGCAGCGTCGATGGTGGTACGAGTACGTAGTTGCGGTTGTTCTTGTTGGTGCGACGGAAACAGAAACGCAACCGGAAGAAGCGATGCGATGCGATGCAACGATGATTCGTGGAATTGGTTCTCACTCGCAGTGCGCTGAAAATGACACCCGGGCGGTGAGAGCGTTACGGCAGAGTACTACGAGTTCGTAGTCGTATCGTACCGTAGCGCCGCGTGAAAGAGGGAAAGGGTTGTTCTTTTTCCCTCGCGATCAGAACAGTTTTTTTTCCGCGTGCACGCGAGATTGAAGTTCGAACACTCACTTGATTGACGATGACTTCGATTCATTCAATTGACGAGAGACGGTTTCAAACAAAAAAGTCACGAGTGCTTGTACTATCGTTCCCTACGTACCGGTACGAGTACGCTACGCCAAGGTGCATTCAAAACGCGTAGCAAAAATCGAGTTCGAGGGATTTTTTGGCTCCTCATCCTAGGTATTTGCACGTGGAGAGACCAGTACTATTCTTACACGGAAGTGGCCGTAGAATTAATCATCGTCTTGAAGAACACACCGATGTTGGTTTCTTGGGTCATAGGTTAGGCAATATACCGTTACTACGTATCATACCGTACCGTAGGTGCCTTTGGAGATGGGAAAACAGAAAACACTAGCACTAGAACACTATAGTATGCATAGTACATATAAACTGTATGAGATCCCGTCCGCTGCGTGCTGCGAAACCGTCCCAACAATTCGCTCTCTGTAGCAGCTACAGTAGTACCGTACTACGTTGTGACGAACCCACACAGAGACAGAGCGAAAAAACAGCCCCCCCGCCGTTGCGCCGAGCGAGCACGCGCTGTGACCATTTTTTGGCGCAATGGTTCGACTCATTGGCCACGGATTGGGAGCGGAGTCGTGCGTGCTTCCGATTTTTCGGCAGCCCGGGAGCTTTTTTCGACGATTTTGTGCTCTCCGGAGGGTGGCGCGGCGCAGGGTGTCGAGCAGCGCGGAAGGAAGAGGCCCAAAAAAGGGCTGTCAACGAACCCGCCGCAGCTGTTGCAGGATTTTCGTTCGTCGTCTGCGCCGTTCTCCGCAACACCCCCGAGGCGACGCAGTCCCATCACATTGCCGCAGAGGACAGCCAACACGGCTCCAATCCAAACAAAACCGTCGTCGTTGCCTGCTTGTGCCTTGCAAACCGCGAGCAAACAAAGGAAACAGAGAAGGCCCCCAGGTCGCAAAAGAGCACGACACCACCACCCGAACCACCGGTGTCACGAAAGAGAGATTCGGAAGAAGCAGCGCGAATCGATCCACGAGCGGTCAACGATCCTTGTGTGTTAGTGTCGCAGCGGATAGGTTGTTAGCAGTAGTTTCAGCAGCAGCAGGTGCAGCCGGAAATTTCTACGATACGATACGATACGATACAATACAACACAACACAACACAACACAACACAACACNACAACACAACACAACACAACACAACACAACACGTTGCGTTACGACAAGAGCGCAACGCAATACTGTACGATACGACAGCCTAGCACAGCCTAGCCTAGCACAGCCCGGCACAGCATAGGATCCGACGCAGCCCGAATCCAGCGAAGCATCGCATCCCACCATGTCGAACCTCTTGAAGACCCCGTCCTTCAAGAAAAAGAACCCCCTCCGGTCCTTCCAGAAGGACGGAAGCGGCCTGGCCCGAACGGCCCCCAACACGCCCGAGGAGGAGGACCACGGGGTCACGATCGTGGCGAACGAGATCGATCCCTCGGCGGACCCGGTCTCGGCCCTGGTGCAGATGGGGGGAGCCTCCCCCCCGTCCCCCCTCCGCGGGGACCACCGGTCGTACTCCTCGTCGAGGGAAGAAAAGAAGGAGGAGCCCCAGGGGGCTTCCACCAAGGCCACCAGCACGGCGCTGGCCACCACCGGGGACGAGGACGTCGTCAGCAAGACGCTCCGCTTCCTGGACGACATGTGCGCCGTCCCGCCGATCCCCCCGTCTCCCCGCGACGTTCTGGGCGCCGCCGTGGGCGCTCCGGGAACGGGCCGGTCCCAGATCCTCGCCAGGCCCTACACGGGAAGGGCGGGCAGCAGCCACCACAACGACGACACGACCGCCACCCCCTCGATGCGCTCCAAGTCCACCTCCGTGTCGAGCGCCAGAAGCGATCCCTCCTCCTCGCGGTACTCGACGAGCGCGGGACCCTCGTCCGCGCCCTCGTCGCAGCCCACGGCGATGGTCAAGAACCACATCGAGCGCAAGCTGGCCAGCGAGAGGGCCAGCGGGAGCATTCCCCGGTCCCCCTCGCACGACCACGAGAACTTCGAGGTGGTCCTAGACCCCTCCTCGCTGCTGGAGGAGGTGGCCGTGCCGGACAAGCCCACCAAGGCCAAGCGGTGGCCACGCCTGTCCAAGACGCTCTCGGCGACCCTGTCGGCGCAAAAGAAGGACAAGAAGCAGCAGCAKCAGCAGCAAAAAGTGTCGCCCGGGGAAACCAAATCGCCCAAGCCGGAGATGCCTAGCACCGAGAGCGAGGGGCCCCTCGACGAGGAAATCGGCCGGCTGATCGGAGCCATCGAAAAGGACCGCAAGCTTGCTGCGGCTCCGGAGGAGGGACCATCGGAAGGCGCTGCCGAGCACCAGCACGCGGAGCAAAGGTCTTCCGCCGGCCCGAAGGTCCTGGCCAAGAAGATCTGGAAGCAGGCCAAGAAGATCCCCGGATCCGTCCGACACGGGGACAGCAAGAAGCAGCAGCAGCAACACCGCCTGGAGGTCGACAACGACGCGGCGGTCGCCCACCGGTCGGCGAAAGAATCAAAGGCCCGCCTCGAGTCGCAGGAATTTTTGAAGCAGGAGAGCCCCAGGCACGGCGTGGAACCCATCCTGGAGGAGAACGAGAACGAGGACGAGGAGGAGGAGGAGGTCGATCGCGAGAACGCAACCGGAACGGCCACGGATGCCACCGAGCAGGCGACGTCCATGGCGGAGGCCTGGAACAACATCTTTTCCCACATTACAAGCACGCTGGACCCCGAGTCCCTGGAGGCCGGGGGCTGCGCCGACGCGGCGAACTCGATGCTCCACACCAGCGGGGAGTCCTCGGAGCCGACCCAAGCCGAGAGGCCCGACCCCCAGGAGGAGAGGCTCCGCAACGAGGAGGCCCTGGCCACCGCGGGGCAGTCCGTCGAGGTCAGCCACGGCCAGAAGAAGGCCCCGACGAGCCGCGCCGCCCTGCTGGGGCAGCGCCTCAAGAAGATCCAGAAGAGCGCCTACTTCAAGACCCACAAGAAGAAGAACCGCACAAAGGCCAAGGCCGGTGCGGCGGCGACGCCGAGACAAGCGCAGCCGTCGGGCGGGGCTTCCACGGCGTCGGACTCCCGGGCCGGTGCCGAGGACATCCCCGGCATGCCCGCCCCCCCGAAGATGATCTGGAAGTCGGTGGTGGACCCGAGGACGGGCCGGACCTACTACTACCACCGCAAGACGCGGGAGACGACCTGGTTCAAGCCAGAGGCCATGAAGCAGTACGAGCGCGACTACAAGGAGTGGCTCGCCACCGTCGCCGGCGAGGGAGCCTCCAACGAAGCCGCCGGGGCCCCCGTTGCCACGACGGCTTCCGGGGACGCACGCGGGGAGAAGGAGGTCCCGTCCGTTGCCCGCTCGTCGTCCTGGCCCAAGGCGGAGGGCGGCGCGGCGACGGCGACGGCGGACGAAAACTCCGTGGACAGCATCGTGAAGCGGACCTCCAGCAACCCCCTGAACGGGTGCGGGATCATCCCCGTCCGGATTCCCGAGGCCGGGGAGGACACCCCCGGGGGAGAGGCAGAGGCAGAGGCAGAGGCAGAGGCAGGGCCGGGCGCCGAGGCCGGAGAAGCTACCGAGCCGGTCGCCAACGAGGGCCGTTCCGGAAGCGAAGCCGAGAATGCAGAACACCCCGAGGCCGGAAAAGCGGAAGCCTCCCCCGGAAAGGCTTCTCCCGACGACTCGAAGCCCTTTGACGAGGGAACCCCCTTTGACGAGGAGCCCGCGCCTGCCCCCGAGGCCTCTAAGAAGAACGAGCCCGGCCTTCTCTTTTTGCCGCGGTCCCCGAAGCGCTTCTCGCGCACCACGACCTACATGAGCAAGGCCTCGGCCCGGTCGGCCCTGACGGACCGGACCGAAAAGATCAAGAACACCGGCAAGGGCCGCTTCTCGGGGATCAACGCCATTTCCGAGACGATGTCCTCGGGCACCAGCATCAGCAGCCTCCCCAGCCGGGTCCCGGTCGTCCGGGAGCGCCAGCTGATGGTGGAGGAGCTCACGGACGCCCGCATCAGCGCTGAGAGCTACGAGGGCACCTCGGGCGAGCGCCGCGGCCGGATCGTCAAGGGCCGGGCGCGGCACTCGGGGCCCTCCGGCTCGCCCCCCCTGCCGAGGCCCCACCACCCGCCACCGCACTACGACGCAGACGAGGACACGGGCGACGAGCGGGGAGGAGCCACCAGCGCCTTTGACAACGAGACGTACGAGACGTACGGGACCGACTCGGTCTCGGCCCTCTCGGAGAACGACACGGACTTTTTGAGCCGCCGGGACAACTTCGACCAGGCCCGGAGGCGGGCCCTCGACGCGGCCATCGAGGTCGAGGACTGGGACCTGGCCGCAGCCCTCTCGGACGGGATGCGGGCGGCCAACCTCCCCGGGGGCTACGAGAAGGCCCACACCTCGTGGAACCAGAGCGAGCTCGACAAGTTCATTGCCACGAACGACTGGGACGCCGTCAAGGCCTACATTGCCAAGATGCGCCGGGCTTCGGCGAGCGCGAACGCCAACGCCCGCAAGAAGGTGGGCTCCCGGTCCCGGATCCAGCACCGGGAGGCGGCCTCGGAATCGAGCTGGAGCGGGAGCGACTCAGGGTCGTCCTACGAGACGTACGATACCGAGTCGCAGATCTGAGGCAAACCGACACGGAACGGGACGGAACGATGTGCGAGGAACACGGGGTCGGTTCGGTTCGGTTTGATTTCATTGGATTGGATTGGATTGGATTGAATCCAGTCAAAGCCGACGTCGAATTTGAATGAAACAAAACAAAACAAATCAAAATGAAATGAAACGAAACGAAACGAAACGAGACGGAACGGAACGGAAGGAAACACGAAACGAAGGCATCTACCGAACGATTGCCCATGGTTCTATCTATGTATCTATCTATCTCATCTGTGATTGCAACCATGGGTTTATGCCGCACACACACCGGATCTCGGGGAACGAAGCCTCCTTGGTGGTTTTCTTTATTGTATTTGTGTATTATCTTTTTTAATTGTATACGGCTTTTTTTGCGTTCCGGTCCAGAACCGAACCAAAGCACTAGCAAATAGAAATCGATTTGAAAACGTACCCATGTCGTGCGCACCGATTCCCTGCACGGGTTTCGTGCTTTAGGATCACAGTGCAGAGGGTAGCAGGTAGCACTGTATGCAATTGTAGCGTACTGTTGTGTTGTGTTGCGTTCTGTTTCGGCGGAGCCACCCACAAGCTGGCCGGTCCGGTCTCTCGGCACCCGGTGGGTGGTGCGTTCTGTTCCCGTTTTGCCCTTTCGTTCGCCTCACGCCAGGCTCCACCGGAGGCAACCGTCCGGACCAAAGACAAAGGGATCGGGCGCCTCGGCCCTCCAGCCGCTTTCTTCCCCGAGCAGCGACGGGAGCTCCAGGGACTCGGCGTGCAGGCACATGCGCGGAAAGGGCGAGGAGAGGGACCCCCGGCCGCTCCCGGCCCGGCGTTCGCCGCCTCCCCGGGCCGCCCCCGGCCTCGCGTAGGTGGCGTCCCCCAGGATCGGAAAGCCGGCCAGGGCCATGTGCACCCGCAGCTGGTGCCGCCGGCCCGTCACGGGGAAGAGCCGGACCTTGGTGATTGCGACCGATCCGCTGCTGGAAGCGACCCTTCCGCGCTCCAGGACGGTGCAGCGGGTCAGGGAGGGCCGGAACCGGAGGCCGCCCGTGGCACCGTTGGAGGGGGACTGCGGGAGGCGGCCGGGGTGTTCGCCGGCCACGGCCTCCGGAACCACCATGTGGAACCGGTCGGGGTGCTGGGCCAGCGGGCAGCACACGTAAAAGGTGTCGTTGCCGCCGCCGCCATCGTTGTTCTTGTGGTTGTGGTTGTCGTCGTTTCCGTTATCGTCGCCGGCCCGCAGCCGAAAGACGGTCGGGAGGTCCTCCCCCCCACCGCCCCCGTTTTCTTCCCGCTGTTGCTCCCCGGCCCGCAGGAGCGCGCTCCGGAAGCGCTCGTTGTGGACGTCGGTCGCCCTGGCCACCGCCTCCGCCAGGGACGGGTGGTCCTTCCGGAGGTCCTTCCAGCTCGCCGCTCGGACGGCGGACAAGAGCCTTTCGCGGTCCTCCTCGATGATTCCTCCCACCGCCTCCTCCAGGGGCTCCCAGACGGCCTCCCAATCCGTTTCGGCGAGGAACGGGGTCCTTCCGCCTTGGGGATGGCCTCCCTTCTTTCGGCGCTTCTTCCGGGGGCTCTTGGTGTCCCCGGCGGCCGTTTCGGCACCCCCGCGTGTTGCCAGCCTCGACTTCCACTTCAAAAAGATGGAATGCGCGGGCTGGAAGCCCGGAAAGGTCGACGATTGGTTCCCGCGCTTCTTGGCGTTGCCGCCGCCGCCGCTGGTTCCCCCCTTGCTCCTCCGGTGCTCCTTCCCCACCGCCGCCCGCTCCTTCCGGTAGGCCCCCTCCAGCTGCCGCATCTTGGTCCGCAGCTCCGCGAGGCCGCCGCCCCCCTCCCACACCGGGACACCAGTCGCACCCCCGGCAGGACTCCCCGTTAGCTGGGCATCGGCACCGGCACCGGCATCCGCATCGCCGGTGGCCGGAGCCAGCGCCATGTCCCCCACCACGACGGCCACGTAGGATTTCCGGACGCCCTCGTGGCGGTCCTCCAAGAGCCGGCCGACGTGGGCGGCCGCTTCCTGCGTTTTGGCCACCAGCAGAACCCCCGACTGTTGGTTCATTGGTTGTTTGTTTCGTTAATTTCGTGCGAGCGGCCGATGGGTGAGTGCCAAGAACAAAGGCAAGGCAAGGCAAGGCAAGGCATCGCAACAGGCTTTGGTTTGTCCATTCCATTCAAAACGTACCGTGGCGTAGTCCAGCTGGTGGCAGGGCCGCAGGGCGTTGTCCCGCACGTCGCTGTGCCGGTGCAGGCCGGCCAGGGCATCGAGCAGGGGGTCTCCCCCGCTTCCGGCTGGGCCGCTTGCCCGCTCCGCAAGCCCTTCCAGGCTCGGCGGGGGGTACCAGTAGGTCAGCAGCTTGAAGACGGAGGAGGGGTAGGGGCCGTCCATCCGCAGGTCCGGGGGCTTGTTGAGCACCAGGTAGCCCGGCGAGTCGTAGGCGATGCTTTTCTCCTTGTCGACGAGGGAGAGGAGGTCCCCCAGCCCGTGGCGAGCCCCGGGCGCCAAAGCCCAGCAGGGGCGGTCGTCCAGGACGGCCTCTTGGGCGGAAGTCTTGCCGCTTGCGCCGTCGGTCTCGGTGGGATCCTCCTCCCCGTGCTGGTTCTGGTTCGATGCGCTGTCTCCGGACCGCATCGCGGACGGCGGCACCCGGTTCCGGTTGGAAAGAGTGGCAGAAGCAATGCCGCGGGTCCGAATGCCGATGCTAAGGTCTGTTCGGTAGCACCGTTGTTGCAAGAAACGGGCTGGCCTCTGCCTCCTCCCGGTTTGGAACGCTTGCAGTCGTCCGCCGCTGTGGCTCTCCGTACCCGAAACGCGTTTCTTGCTGCTGCTGCTGCTGCTCCGCCGAACGACTCTTGTGCGTGCAATGGCTTCGAAAAGAGGCAGTCTGCCTTGCATGCCGTGACGAGAGGCTGCTCTCTGTGCTCTGCGCAAAACAATGCCCGGATCCACGCTTTCATTCCTCGAGCCATCAAAGGGTGATGGAACGATTGTTCCAAAAGTTTTGTGGTGCCGAGCACAGACCCTTTTTTGTGTCTTAGGGATAGGGATGATTGACTCGATCAACATCCATGAATGAATCATCGAAACTAAATCTAAATTTCAAAATCCGAACCCGGTCGGGAAACGCGCTCAAAAACCAGCAAAAGAATGCGCGCCGCGTTTTGGTTGTGGCAGCGTGACACCCTTTTTCGAGATCGAGATTCGAGATGCGTTTTTGGCACCCTTCGCTGGTTCCGACACAAGATCCTTGCGTACACACACAACGCAAGGCGACAAGCAAAGGTCTCCAACTCCGGCCAAAACAAAACGACCAACCAACAATCAAACCAACCAACGAGCGGACAAAAAGGATCGATCCTGCCCGACACAACAATGGCACACCGCGGGCTTTCTTCGGTGGCTGCGCAGGTCCTCCTGCTGCCGATGCTGCTGTTGCTGCTGTGCCTCGGCCGGGGTGCCGATGGCTTTGCCACCACCCGGTGGAGGCCGGGGACGCGTGTCGCGGAGCCCATGGCGGCAGCGGTGGCTCGGTCGCCCCCGGTCCCCTTCTCGCCGACCACTCGTTCGGGGGCTCGGAACTTGGCGCTGTGCTCGTCCCCGCCTTCGGGCCGCGAAAGCATCAATGGCCGCGAAAGCATCAAAGGGGGTAGGCTCCGGCGGGCCCTCTCGGCCTTTGCGCTCCTGGCGCCCGCCTGGACCCTCCTGGCGGCGGTGGCCGCCACCTCCCACGCGGAGGCCTGCTCCGGGACCCTCGGCTCCCTCCCGGTGATGCAGAGGGCCTACGCCCTGCTCATGTTCGTCACGGGCCTGGGGGTCTCCCCCTCCGACGTCCGCAGGGCCGCGGCCGACCGCCTCGTGCTGGGGACCAACGCCCTCCTCTGCTTCGGCGCCATGCCCCTCCTGGCCGTTGCGGTCTCGGCCGCCCTGTCCTACCCCCCGGCGATCGCGCGGGGCCTGGTGCTGCTGGGCTGCGTCGGAGGGGGCCAGGCCTCCAACCTCTTTTCCCTCCTGGCGGGCGGGGACGTGGCCCTCTCGGTGGTCTGCACCCTCTCCACGACCCTGCTGGGGGTGGCGGCGACCCCCCTGCTGGTCCGGTGCCTAATGGGCACACCGGTCGGGGTGGACGGCCCCGGGATCCTGCGGTCCATCGGCGGGCTCGTCCTGGTCCCCCTCTGCGCCGGCTCGGGCCTCTCGGGGGTCCTCCCCCCCCGGACCCGCACGGCCCTGTCGGGGGTCCTCCCCTCCCTCGGCGTCCTGGCGACGCTGGTCCTGGTGGCGGGGGGGTCCTCCGGGGCGGCGGCCTCCCTCGGGGGAGGCTCGGTGGTGTCCCTCCTGGCCCCCTCGGTCCTCCTGGCGGCCCTCGGGGGGGCCCTGGCCATGGGCGTGGGAGGGCTCCTGGGGCTGGGCGAGAAATCCTCCCGGACCCTCTCGATCGAGACCCTCTCCAAGTCGCCGACCCTGGCCTGCGTCCTGGCCCTCGAGCACTTTCCGGAGGGGACGGAGGCCGTCCCGGCCGGGGCCATGGTCACCCTGGCGGTGGTCGGGGCCCTGGTGGCCTCGGCCTGGTCCCTGGCGGACGCCAAGGCGGCCCGGGACCAAAAGGGCGAATAGCCGGCACGACGACGACGCCGCAGGTCCGGAGTGCGTCTGCGCGTGCGTGCGTGCTACCGGTGGCACCCCGAGGCTGCCGGTGCTTCTGCTGCTGCTGCTGCCAGTGCTGCTCTCTGCTAGCGAGTACCGTACCGTACCGTACCGTACTGCGCGAGACAGCAGCACACACTGCTCGGTGGACTCGATTGGTAGGGGCACTGTGCTACTACGAACAATACTACTAGTAGTAGGAGTACCAGCACGCGGCAGAGAACGCGGAGCTTCCGGAGCTCGCCAACGGATCCATCGTTCGCTTGTGGCAAGAGACACCGACCGAACAATGCGCGTTTGGTATGATAGTGTACAATGATTTCGGTATTCTTATTACTCGAGTACTACGGTAGAGTAGAAGTAGTAATTCGTGAGAGTACTACTACTACCTATTACTAGTAGTAGTGTGACGTAATAAGTCGCTCCTCTTCAATCAAAGACCCTGGTTAGTATTAATAGGTACGTAAAGTACGAAGTAGAACGATAGAAGAATTAGCAAAAAAAGAAGAAACATTTTCTTCTTGTTGAACAAGAACCCTCTCGTGGGTTCGCACAAATAATATTGGAAATGACAGGATGATTGAAATGTCTTCATCCCTCGTACGAAATATTGGGACTAGTACAAGGTAAACTAGTATGGCATTTATTCATCAGCCGTTTTCAGTTGGAAAGGTGAATTGCGTCGAACTGCCACGTGCCCGAACGAGAACCGGGGAATCTGATATTTCCAATACAGATAGGTTCGGTTCCGGCCCTGAACGAAAGAATCTCGTTCATACAGCATTCATCATAGGTTAATACCATATGTTTCATATGTACCATACAAACCGAAGTCCCTCGATTCCTCGATCGAACACGAGTTTTTGGTTTTCGATGGATTGTTGGTTGATGGATTCGGCCTTCATGTTTAATTTCTGCAATTTCGTCTGCAACACCATACAATTCCGTACCGTACCCACAGAATGCAAGCCAACCGATCTCGTTGACCGGTGCGTGCATGGGTCGTAGGCGAAAGGTAGCCGAAACGAAACGAAACCAAGMCGCATCCGCAACCGCATCCGCAGCGACGACGACGACGACGACGATGCGCGCCACGGAGAGGCGCCTCGCGAGGACGCTGCTGGTGGGCCAGAGGTTCCGGGGTTCCCCCAACGGCCCAGCCGGCGCCGGAGCAAAGGGCGGCATCCGTCTCCGACTCCGCGGTCCCCGGCCCGACGCCGGGGCCCCCCGCTGGTCCTCCGGCGAGCCCAAAGCCGCGATCGGACGAAAGAGCCCAAAGAAAATCGCCGTCGCCATGTCCGGGGGCGTCGACTCGTCGGTCGCCGCCTACCTCCTGGCCGAGCGCCACCCCGCCGGGGAACTCGTGGGCATCCACATGTCCAACTGGGACTACCACGACGAGGATCCGTCTACCGCCGGGTCGGGAAGGCCCGGGCGCGAATCGTCGCACTGCTGGGAGCAGGACTGGAAGGACGCGGTGGCCGTTTCCGAACGGCTGGGCATCCCGATTCACCACGTCTCCTTCCAGGCCGAGTACTGGAACGACGTCTTCGAGCCGTACTGCCAGAAGCTCTCGCGGTCCGTCACCCCGAATCCGGACGTCGACTGCAACCGGTACATCAAGTTCGGTGCCCTGAAGGAGTACCTGGGGGAACGGTTCGGCGGAGGCATCGATCGCCTGGCGACGGGGCACTACGCGAGGCTCTGGGACCGGAGCCGGGACGAGGAGATGCCGGACTGCCTCCAGCGGGCCCTCGAAGAGGAGGAGTCTTCCTTGCTCGCCGACTACCTCCTCCGCCCGTCGGTGGCCGGCGATCCCGTCCTGCTCGCGGCGCGGGATCGCTCCAAGGACCAGTCCTACTTTTTGTCGGGGGTGCCGGCCCGGGCCTTTTCGGGGGTTGTCTTCCCCCTGGGGGATCTGTACAAGACCGATGGCCGCCACCGCCTCAACAACAGCAACAAGAACAAGAACAAGAACAACAATAGCAACAGCAACGATTCGGTGGCGGACGGCGGACACGGGATGCCTTCCGTTCGGGACCTGGCGAGGCAGGCCCGCCTGCCGAACGCCTCCAAGAAGGACTCCGTGGGCATTTGTTTCATCGGCAAGCGCAGGCACGGGGACTTTATCAGCGAGTACCTGGACCACCCCCTGGGAAGCTCGCCGCCGGAAAAATCGGTGGTGGAGTGCGTCCACGTCGAAACCGGCGAGGTGGTTTCCACCTTTGACCCGCTCGAGGCCCCGTCGCTGGCCTACGCCACGGTCGGGCAGGGCGCCAGGCTCTCGGGCGCCGCGCAGAAGTGGTTCGTCGTCGAGCGCCAGCTCCGGCCCCCGCAAGACAAGGCAGGGACCGCGGCCGTGGCCTGCGGACGGTGGGAGTCCCCCCGCGTGGTGGTGTGCCCCGGGACGCACCACCCGAGCCTGTACACGGACACGTTCCGGATCCGGTCGGACTCCTTCAACTGGACGGCCGGTGGGGGGGATTGCAACGAGCCTCCTCCCCTCCCCTTTCGGGCCCGGTGCCGCATCCGGCACCTGCAGCCCCTGGTGGACTGCGAGGTCCGCTTGGCGGACGCCGGTGGAGACGGAGACGGCCGCTGCTACGAAGTCGTCCTGGGGACGCCGCTGAGGGGGGTCGCTCCGGGGCAGGTCTGCGTGCTGTACGCGGGCGGGGCCGGGGGGGACCTGGTCTGCCTCGGGGGAGGCCCGATCGAGGAGCGGGGGCCCAGCTACTGGGAGGCCCAGCGGGACCTCCCGGAGGCCCTGCACCCGTCCGGCCACAACGACGCGGGGGTTCCGTCCTCGTCCGGGCCGGGGGGCCGGTGAGGAACCGCGTGTTGGGGCGGGAGAAAGGCATTGCCTCCCACCGGTAGCCTCGGGCACGGTCCTCGTCCCATGCATTCGAGCTGCCTAGCCCGAGGTGCAATGGTACTAGAAAAGGATTCTGCATGGTCAGCTTGATTCTAGTATCGCGAAGAACACTGCATAGATTCCACGACAGGATTGCTGGGCAGAAGTAGGATAAGGCTGGATATCCTTGAAACTCCTAATTTCTATGCAACAGCATCTGAAACTGCAGATTCATGAAGAACCCTCTGTCTTCTCCAATACCAAAAATCCAATAATTGTGGGATATCTAGTAGTGTTACTAATGATTGAATATCTTCCTTTTGTTCTCCACTGTTTTTTGTAGTTACCCGATTTGTTTGCTAGTTTGTCCCTTTTTGAATTCTCCTTCTTGCTTTCTGGGCATTCTCAAGCCATCAATCATTCGCGTTTGGATCGGGCTAGTCAACCACCTCCGCGTTTCAAGAGCATGTCCCAGTTTGATGAACGGAAGACCATTCTTTTTAAGCAGCAAAAACAGGAATTTTTCGTGTTTTCAGCAGCATCTTGTGACGATTTAGATTCTACGAGTAGGATACTAGAACGTACCGTACTATCAGATTTTGGTTCAACAAGACTGATTGTTCTTTTAGTAGTTCTACGGGTATTCGTCGGTTAAAAATGGAAATCGAAGTGTGTATTCTTATGGATGGATCCGTATCAGGGTCACCTCGACCGTATAAACATGATAAGGTGAACAAGACTAATGGCGCCCATCCGATACTTTATGTACCTGTTACTATCAGAGCAGTCCCGACTGACAGATTCTATCACGCTCGGCTGATACGGAATTATACCTAAAACCGCATTCAATTTTCGCATTGTCGTACTTGACTCGCTCGCGCAACGACGTGTGACATCAGATTCGACGAAATGGTAGAACGGTACACGCTTATTTCTACCGTTTCTCTTTCCGTTCAGATTGCGATTCGATCCGACCTGGCTAAGCAAGCAAATTGCTTTTGGTCGCGGTTTAGTCACACTGTTTTTTTTCCACAAATTTGGCAAGAACCGTGATTTTGTGTCAGTCGAACTTAAACGTTGTGCACACTTGAACGGCGTAGTACGAAGTTCCGAAATCAAATACCCTTCGTGAAAGATAGGGAATGAACGAACCGTTCAAATCGGCTATATCACAAATCAAACTAAAAGTAATCTTCCAAGTATTGTCATCGTTGTTGTGAAGTAATTGAAAAGACTGAACTGATAATCCAGTCTCAACAATACGTAACGATGGTTTCCATTAACATCAGACTGAGTGTTTTCCTTTTATGGGTGGGGCTCCTTGCATCCGCGTCGAACGCAGAGAACCTACGCCGGAGATTGGGTGTTGGCTTTGTTCCGCCAGAACCGCCTACTGATCCCATAGATATCGCACCACCAGCTGATCCTGTGGAGCCAACTAAACCACCTGCGGATCCCGTGGACCCACCTGAACCATCTGAAGATCCTACAGACCCACCTGCACCACCAGCTGATCCTACAGACCCACCTGCACCACCAGCTGATCCCGTGGACCCACCTGAACCACCAGCTGATCCTGTGGACCCACCTG